AATACCACAATACTAGAAGTAAGGAAAACACACACACACACACACACACTCACACACACACAATCATCTTAACTGATGCAGAAAAGGCATTGGACAAACTTACACATCTTTTCTTGAAAGGAAAAAAAAACTCTCAATAAGCCAGGAATAGAAGAAAACGTGCTTAAGATGACAAAAGCCATACATGAAACCCATGGCTAACATCATATTCAAAAAAGAATAAAAGCTTTTCCCCTTGGTCAGGAATAAGTCAAGGTACAGCTTCTTCAGGATTTTCAACACATAAGATCAAATCATCTGCAAATAGAGATAATTTTACTTCTTCCTTTTCAATTTAAATGCCTCTACTATTCTTTGTGCCCATTTACTCACTCTGAGACTTCTAGTACTATGTTGCATAAAATGTTACGTTAAGAGTAGCATTCTTTATGTGGAAAAAGCAGTAATGCTTGCCTTTGGTCAGCTTTTGATTATATTGTTAGGTAAAGATATGTTAATGATTGCTGTGTCTTCTCAGAAAATTGACTCCTTTATCACTATGTAATGCCTTCAATACACCGGCCTTGACTTGTCAACAAAGTTTTAGATATAACATTGAAAGCACAGTCTACAAACAATAACAACAAAAATCTGATAACACGGGCTTTGTGAAAAATTAAAAACTCTTATTCCATCAAAGATACATGGTTAAAGGTGAAAGGACAAGCCACAGACTGTGAGAAAACATCTGCAAAATGCATATCTAATAAAGGACTTGTCTCCAAAATATACTATGAGTTCTTAAAATTGAAAACGAAAATGAATAACCCAATTAAAAAGTAGACAAAAGATCTGAGGAGATAACTCGTCAAGAAATTATACAGATAACAGAGAAGGTGAAAATATGCTTCACATCATACATCACTGGGGAACTGCAAACCAAAGCAACAATGAAATACCACTATATACCTATTAGCAAGGTCAGAATCCAAAGTACTGACAGCACCAATTGCTGAAAAAGAGGTGGTCTTACTGGAATTGTCAGTCATTCCTGGTGGAAATGCAAAATAGCACATCCACTTTGAGAGACAATTTCTTACAAAACTGGACATACTCTTACCACATGATCAAGTAATTGTCCTGCTTGGTATTTATGTATACTATGACATATTATCAATAAAAAGGAACACATTAATAACGTATACACAACTCGGATCAATCTCCAGAGACTTATGTTGAGTGGAAAATCCAAATCCCCAAATGTTGCATACTGTGTAGATCCATTGGTACACTATTTGGGCAATGACAAGACTGTAGAAATGGAGGGCAGATTCGTGTTTGTCAGTGGTTAAAGATGAGAGTTGATGTGGCTATAAAAGGACAACACAGGGATCTTTGTTGAGATAGAAAGGCACTGTATCTTGACTGTGTCCATGTCATTATCCTAGTTGTGATGTTGTGCCACAGTTTTGTAAAATGCCACTATTGGGGAAACTGGGTGAAAAGTGTATTAGTTCTTTGAATTATTTCCTATAACTGCATGTAACTCTATAATTATATGCTCCCAAAATATGGCTTAATTATAAAAACAATCATATTCTCACCTTGAATCATAAACATATCTCTTATGGAAGTGTGAGTAGATTTTGTTTCTATCTGCCATGTAAGAAAGAAAAGGCATTGAAAAATTAAGAGATCTGAGGTCACTCAGGCAGAGGTGAACTATGCCAAGGACATTCAGGGCTGAGGAAGGGCTGGCCATGTCAGAAGCATGGCCTAAGGACAGAGGGCTGGTCAGCTCTGGGCTCTGAGCCAGCCTGCACCCACCAGGATTCCTTCACCTGTTTTCTCAAGACTGAGGAGAAAACAAGAGGGCGAACTGCCGGTACTGCCACCTAGTGGCTTGTCTCCTGAAAATGAGAAAGAGGAAGAAAACCACAGGTCTGCATGCGGTGAGCCTCTGGCTTGGCAGCTGGAGAGAACCTGCAGAATAAGGTAACTTGCTGGAATCGAACATTAATGAGCTGTTCTCTAATTTGTAAAAGGAGAAGACCAAGAATGGAACTGTGCTTCTGGGCCAGAGGACAGAGGCGGACAAAAATGTCACCATCTCTAATGAATCTGTACGGCTGATTGCAAAGAAGGTTTCTGTGGGTGTTCACTGCTCAAGGAATGCTCCAGGTGCAACCTATCACCAGCAAGCAATCCACAAGAGTAGTCATTTCACTGCAAAGCCGCCTTGAGGGGGTCAGAGTTCTCTGGGGAGGCAGCAGTCCCACCTTGTAACATACCTGCCTTCAAGTGCTCTATCACCCACTCCCACCCCAGTGTTACCTTATCTGGCTTCTACTGTCCTTCCAGTTGGGGTTCATTTCTTTGACCATGAGAGGTGGCCTGTTATACTGAAAAGAAGATTCTAACTGAAATTAGACACGTGACAGAGCCAGGCACAGTGGCGCATGCCTGTAATCCCAGCAGCTCGGGAGGCTGAGACAGGAGGGTCGCAAGTTCAACGCCAGTCTCAGCAAAGGCGAGGTGCTAAGCCACTCTGTCTCTAAATACAACTCAAAAATGGACTGGGGATGTGGCTCAGTAGTCAAGTGCTCCTGAGTCCAATCCCCCGTTTAAAAAAAGAAAAGAAAAGAAAGAAAGAAATTAGTTAATATAGATAGTACTACCATTAGTAGCTAAGTAAAAAATACCCAGTGGCAACGTCTGAGTCTTGTTTTCATCTTTCATAAGACAGAAATGAGGATGGTGATATTATTTGTCAAACCTATAAGACTTCATGCTGCAGGCTGGCCCCCACGGTGAGCCAGCTCTTCCTCCTCCATCTGACTTGGAGTCTTGTGAGCTTTGAAGTGTTTGCAGACCAGCACTGAGTGCTTGTGTGTGTGCTCCCAGTGGAGTGTGTGAGTAAGCACAGGTACATGTGGGCTGGGCTGGGCACAGGTAGACAAGGAAGTAGGCACCCCCTTGCCCACTCCACACAGGCCTGACTCTGTCCCCTAAACGGCATGGAGGCTCTGCCAGGCATTGTTGCTCCTGAGTTACACACATGGAACTGACGTCCTGGCCCTCTTTCTTTCTTCTCTGCTCCTTTGTACCCCTCCTTGTGCAGTCCACAATCCCAAAATAATAGGGAAATTCTTCCCACTCCCGAGGAGCTGGCAGGAAAACAATCTCCTTTCTAGTGACTCCATTAGAAACCGCATTAAAAGTCTTGCATAAGTAGACAAAAGAACTTGCCTGAAGTAAGATTTGCAATTGTACCCAGTGGTCATGGGGGAAGGAACGCATAATTGGCAGGATTCAGCTCCAAGAAGGAGGTACAGAGAGCTGGTAAATGGCAGAAAATAAGCCCTGAAAAGAGACCTGGTAGAGACTGGGGCACCTAGACTGTGCAGACAGAAGGGCCTAGGTATGCAAGGGCCAAGTTTTTCAAGATGATATTCATTTTAAAATTCTATTGTCATGTGTTCTGGAGTCAAAAAGCAAGGCTTATAAACCTATGGGGACATGCCAAAGGAAGGAAGAGTGTATATATACACTCTGCTCTGAAGCTTGAGATCTGTTTGATAACCAGCTAGTCTGCCTCACCAACAAGGTAAACTGCTTGACGCAGGAATTTTTAGAAAGCTAAGCCTATTCCCTGAAAATGAAGGAATTACTAGTGGTTCCCCAGCAAGGCTCACTACCAATCCTTCTCTAAACCGTACCTAGTGCTGGGAGGCACGCGTGTTCTATTTTACAGATCGGTGGTTGGTATTCCATTAAGCTAAGAACTTACTTGTGGTTACACCTCTGACAGCAGATGCTTCTGATCTGAGATCATACACGACCAACTAACTCACTCCACAGCCACTTTGTTTCTTGAGTCTTTGGTGGGGGGGTAAGAATTTACCTCCAAGCCAGGGAGCCAAAGTCTCTCCATTTTTCTTGAACCATTAGCCAGAGAGAGGAAGAGTGTTTGGTTTTTATTAATGAGAGGTCAGAGGTTCATCCCAGGATCCAGAATTGTGGGCCTAAATTTCCTGTGTTGCTAGCATGAATAGCAGCATGGGATTTAGAAAATGTATCATACGAACGGACAGATATCCAGACAACTTTGGGAAAATCTATAAAATTAAATGGATTTTTCTTCTTGTAGATTTAACAAAGCCTTTGTGTATTAATAGGTATTTTAAAGTTCCAAGTGTAGAAAACGGGTTTAGAGCCTCTTGTACAGGCAGGGGTGGAGCTGGGAAAGCTGGCCTGTGCCCCAGCTCTGCCATCCCATGACCCCACAGTGAAGTGACTGGACGACTCCTGTCCTGCTGATATCCCATGGCTACAGGCATGCTTTGGGAAGGCCCTTTGCTCACTCTAATGCTTGCTATGGCTTTTCCCAGAGTCAGTACTTCTGCAGAGGAAGTACTGAAAGAAAGTACTAAAAGGTACTAAAAAAAGTACTTTTTACTGAAAGAAAGTACTGAAAAGTACTGAAGTCCTGAAAGTCTCAGCTCCTCTCTGATACTAGACCAACAAGCGTAGAACTGAAGGTTCAATGGTGGCATGCATTTGGCTATTTTTTTTTTCTCCCACTCCATGGGACAGAAGACTGTGGTCCACCCCTGGCTACATCCCTGATGGTGAATGACTCTGGGGAGGTTGTTTAATTCTCAGAACTTCACTCAACATACACGGTTCTGAGTGGTTGACGTTGGAATGCGCACAGGAAAATAAAGACTTTTCAAATACAAAGCTTTGAGGGGAAGGAACCCCTTCCCTGCTCCCCGTCCTGGACAGCAGCCTGGCTGCTAGTAGCACTGGTGCGCTCTCCCCAAGGCTGAGCAGTTTCCACACCTACCGCTGCACACTCAATGCCTATTTCTGCTTTTCAAGCTCAACATGCCCTGCCCTCAGTCTTAAATGCACCCTTCTTCTGACCACCCAATCCTTCCAGAAACTCTGCCCTACGCTTGGGGCTGAGTTCCGACTCTTTCTTTATTTCCTTATACCCTGCGTCAACATTCACCTACCTGGTCTGGGTAGGATATGCCACCAGAGGGAAAAGTAGAATTAGCCTGGTGCATCCCCCTCCCTCCAGCAGTTGGAGTATCTCACTGTGAAGCCTTTACACGGAGCAGCAAAGGACGAAGATTGTTCTCAGAGGCAGGGAGACTTCTGCATGCCCCCAAATTCCTCTTGATGAATGTGCCCAGAAAGGCAAATAACAAAGTTTCTCAGTTGCTGCCAGGCAACCTGAGGGCTCAGTGGGTCCTGGATGCCACTCTGGGTTGTTGCCAAGGGGCCTCTCTCAGCTCCTCTGTGTGTGTATACGTGGCTGATATCCAAGAAGCAGCACCATCCCCAGCCTGAGCCTCTGGTCTCCGAGGTTAACTAGCAAAAAACACAAAACCATTCTCTCTACCCCTTTTCCTCTAGGGTTTGACTGAATAAGACAGGGCTATTCCCTGGAACTGAGGAAGGGCTCTGTGTGAATGCAAATGCCTCAGCTCAGTGAGCTGGCTGGACTGCCACGTGACTGCATCCTCAGAGCTCCCCGACTGCCTGGCTTCCTTCCCCACTTTCACTTCTCTCTAGCTGTAAAGGTCATTGTTCCCCCAGCAGCTTCTATGCTCTTTCTAATTCCAGACACAGCCCTAAGTCTTCCCTAATGTGTTGGCCGTGACCAAACACCCACCACCAGCCCCCTCTTCAGACTAGGGACCCAACTGCCCACCAGGATTCTCAAGCTTATCCCAGGATAACTCTCCATTAAAAAAAAAAATTGTTCTTTTTAATTATATGACAGCAGAATGTATTTTGCCATATTAAACATATAGGGAGTATAACTTCCCATTCTTATAGTTGTATATGATGTGGAGTTACACTGGTTGTGTATTCATATGTGAACGTAGAAAAGTTATTTCCCTTCATTTGCCTTTCCTATTTCCACACCGTTTTCCCTTCGTTTCCCTTTGTCTAATCCAAGAAACTTCTTTTCTTCCCTCCTCTACCCCCGTATTGTATGTTAGCGTCTGCATATCAAAGAGAATATTCGGCCTTTGGTTTTGGGAGACTGGTTTATTTCACTTGTCATGATAATCTCCAGCTCCATCCATTTACTGCCCAGTGCCATAATTTCAACTGTCCTTCATGGCTGAGTAACATTCCATTGGGTATATGTACCACATTTTCCTTATCCATTCATCTGTTGAAGGGCACCTAGGTTGGTTCCACAGCTTGGCTATTGTGAATTGAGCTGCTATCAACATTGATATGGCTGCATCACCATTGTATGCTGCTTTTAAGTCCTTTGGGTATATGCCGAGGAATGGGATAACTGGGTCAAATGGTGGTTCTATTCCAAGTTTTCTGAGGAATCTCCCTACAGCTTTCCAGAGTGGTTGCTTTCTAGTTTGCAATCCCACCAGCAATGATAACTCTCTATTTGGGCAAAAACAGCACCATCCCCCTAGCTGTTGGAGGCAGAAACCCAGGCCCTTCTTGTCCATCCATATGATATCTGGCTCTAAATTCTCTAGATCACACTTCTGGGGAGAGCTCTAAGTATGTTCTCTCATCTATCCTCACTGCCCTGAATCAGTGGTACCTTCCCATCACTGTCTAGATTGTTTTTGCAGCTTCTAAATAACTCTGCAGACCTCTAAGCCTTTACTTCCCTGGCTCTCTCTATTGCCAGACAGATCCTCCTAAGGCTTGAATTTGACAGTTTATCACATCACCTCCTCTGCATGACATCTGTGAAATGCCCTCTGTGGTTGGCTAAATGATGACCCCCAGAATGCTCATGTCCTAAGTTGCAGAACCTGTGTTACTTTTTATGGTAAAGGGAATTTGTAGATGTGACTGAGGATCTCAACACGGGAGATTAGCTTGCATTATCCAGGTGGGCCTGATGCAGTCACAGGGGTCCCCAGGAGAGAATGAAGGAGTCAGAGCAAGAGAAGATGATGTGTCGTTGGAAGCAGAGAATGAAGAGATGCCTTTGAAGACAGAGGAGGCCATAGCCAAGGACGAACAGAGACCACTAGAAGCTGGACAGGCAGGAAATGGGTTCTCCCCTCAAAGCCTCCAGAAAGAACTAGACCTACAGATGCTTTGCCTTTAGTCAGGGAGTACAAGGTCTTCAGGCCACTGGAGGTGTGTCCCTGGAGGGAACAGTGGGGCTCACCCCTTCTTCTTTTGTGTCCCAACCAGGAGGTGAGCAGATTTGCTCTACCACATACTCTTGCAGTGATGCGTCACCACAGGCCCAAAAGCAATGGGGCCAATTGATTCTGGACAGAAACCTCTAAAACTGTAAGCCAAAATAAACTTCACCTGGTTATAAGTCTACTTTCACAGGTGCTCGTCTCAGTGAGAGAAAGCTGCTGGGCACAGTGGTGTATGCCTGCAATCCCATTGACTAGGGAGGCTGAGTCAGGAGGGTCACAAGTTCAAGGCCAGTCTCAGCAAGTCTGAGGCCAGGCTAGGCAACTTAGTGACACCCTCTCTCAAAATAAAATTTTGAAAAGGGCCGGGGATTATATCCCCAGTGGTAAGGCACCCCTGAATTTAATCCCTAATGCTCCCCCATCCAAATGGAAAGCTGATTAATGCAGGAACCATATATAGCCCACAATCCCACTCTTAGATGTTTACCCTAGAGAAATGAGAACGAAAATAGGTATGGTTTTGTAATTTCAGTGTGTGTGTGTGTGTGTGTGTGTTCTGAATTCTTGATGCCGTTCTCCTTCCCTGATTCTAAATTCCAACTGCTTCTTTCTCTTGTTCATGTCTCCATCAAAACTTTGGTTTATTCTGTAAAGAGTCATCTGATTAGTCACGGCATGTCAGTGTTTATGAGTCAATAGTTCCCTTCTCTGAGGAGAAGGATTGCATTTTCTGGTATATCTCAGACTGGGAAAGGCAAGATTTTGTATTCTAGAATAAAAGCACTAGACATCAGAATAATGGAGCTCTAAAGGGAGAGACTTTAGGAAGCATTAAGCCTTACATTATTTTGTACCTTGTGTTTCCTATTATGTAAGTGACCAGTATACTTACAGGCATGTGTTGCTTAATGACAAAGATATATTCTCAGAAAACCATCATTCCACAATTGCATATTTGTGCAAACATCATAAAATGTATTAACACAAACCTAGGTGGTATAGGTCAGTCACTCAGTGTGGCCTTTTGATGCAATCAAGAGATGCAGTAAATGCAAGATACATGAGGCCTCTGCTGATATCACACAGCAGACTGTTTGTACAGTAAACCTTAAAAAATAAGTAAAACAATGATAGAAGTATAGTACAGAAAATACATAAATCAGTTTGTTTATCATCATTATCAAGTACATAACCAAGTATCATTGTATTGCTATATTTACATAGGACTGACATTGTAGTAGGTTTCTTTCCATCAACATCACCACCAACACCTGAGTAACACATTGTGCTGTGATTTCATGATAGCTATGATGTCACTCCGTAAAAGGAATTTTTCAGCTCCATTATAATCTTATGGGACCACCAATGTATATGTGGTTTGTCATGGACAATAATGTGATGTGTAACTGCATTTATAAGGCTGGTCTCAGGTGCAGTGAGGGCCCTTTGCTGTCAGTAGGTCCGAACTTCATAAGCCAGACCCTACAGAAAAGTGTTCTTATGCATTCCTAAAAAGGTTTCTCTGTTCAGTGGACCTAGAAGCACACAGAATAGGAAAAGGTCCAGAATTTTAGTTCACAACAGAATGTGGTTGCCAGAGAGCTCATGCTGTCTTAGGACGCATCCACTGACATGATTACACAGAAAAAGAACAGGATAGAAGTCTCGTAGTCTTCAGGCTGGTCAGACCACTCCAATCCAGTCTCAGGTGGACAGGTGGGTCCCATCACAGCCTAGTTATCAGGAGGAGAAAGAATCTCAAGATGCTGAGGAATGAGGAACAATTAGGAAACTGAGCTTGTTTATCCCTAAGAGGGACAAAACGGCTATGAGGCAGGAAAAAAATATCTTTGACTTTATTAACTATGACATGGAAGAGAAATTAAACTTGTTCTGGAAGTATCAGAGGAGAGAAAAAAGATCAACAGATGACAGTTATCACAAGTGATCATGAGTACAGGATTTGGAACTATGATTTGGGGCATTTTACTTGATACTTAAGGGTCAGTCTTCCATCTGGAAGATAATGATGATGACAAGCAGCAGGGTAATGACACTACCCATCTCATGTTCATTTTGTGCTGCTATAACAGAATACCACAGAAATTTATCGGGTCATGGTTCTGGAGGCTGAAAATTCAAAAATGAGGAACCACATTTGGCAAAGGCCTTCTCGATGTATCATCTCTTGAGAGAGAGGGAGACAGGAAAATAGAGGGACAGAAAGAGAGAGGGGGAGAGAGAGGGGGAGAGAGAGGGAGAGGGAGAGAGAGAGAGAGAGAGAGAGAGAGAGAGAGAGAGAGAGTGAGTTAGCTCACAGCCTCAAGCCCTCTCACAATAGGTATTCATTCATTCACAAGAGCTGCTGTGCACTCCTAAACACCCTGCCCCCCAGTTAGGTCTCACCACCTCATACAGATGCATTGGGGATTAAGTTCCCAGCACATGCTTTTCTGGGGGTCATAATCAAATTCTAGCAGAGAAGAACGGCTTGAGATAGTATTTCTGATATTAAACTCTATTTAATACAAGGAATGACCTCCCAGTGTTTAGAACTGCCAGCATCTCCTGGGTGGGTGGGTTCAGAAGGCAGGAGGTCATATAGGGATAAACAATTAGGCCACGTGGCTTCCACAATTCTTTGTGTGCAGACAATTCTCTAAATCCCCATCAAAGGCTCAAAGCAAATTTTCTCCTCTTCTGAGATGCGTGTAATCACTGCCCTAACTCTGCCTGAAATCTTCAAAATCCTAAACTGTGGTGGTAAATTCATAAGGAAACCCTTGTTTCTATCACAAGCGCCTCCCATGAGAACAAGGAGCAGGACTTCTGTCTTACAGCATTGTTTTGAGATTTGCAGGTAGCAAAGACGTTCAGGAAGTACTGGCTAGTTAGTTGACAGGTTCCACTCCCAGGACACAAAGCCATTCTGTGTCGTTGTATCAAAGGGAAGGTACTTCCTCCAGCTGCCATCACTAACTCACTTTTTAAAAAAGATTTATTAAACTATAATTCATATGCCATACAAATTACCCACTCCAAGTAGCTGAATGTTTTTGATAAATTCACAGCGTTGAGCAACCATAATCTACTTTGAGAACACTTTTGTTACCCGCAGAAGAAACACCATACTTCCTAGCATTCACTCCCCACTCTCCCACAAGATATAGGCCTGCAGCCCTAGGGCAACTGCTAATCATTTCTGTAGATTTATCTACCCTGAGAATTTCCAGTCAATGGAATCATATGCATTGTGAATGGCTCCTGTCACTAGGCAAAATTACTGT